TCCCCCACATCCATTCCCTGCCTACTTTCTCCTGTGCACCTTTCCCCTTTTTTTACCTGCTCCCTACTCCTGTCCTCATGTCTACCTATTAATGACTCCCCCCCACCCCCTTCCTCCTTCAATAAAATTAATTGGGGGAATTTATCATAGCAATTGGGAGTGTTTAAACTTGCACGGAATATATTTGATGCACTTTGCGCCAGATTTATGTTGCTAGTGTAATGTTGTTCATAAATGAGGTGAAATAGACTTCATGAAAGAAGACTCGTAACTCCGGGCAAAAAGGAGACTCGTAACTCCGGGCAAAAAGCTTAACTGTCGCTTCTTGAAGAGGTGGTCATGGAGACTTCTTATGCAGCAATTGTTTTGTTAGGTGATGCTCGAGTTTCCAGATGTAAACAGTTGCGAACCTTCGCAAAACAGGCGCAAAACATGTGCAATCGGAAAACTAGTACAAGCTCTGGTCAAAACAGGGGCACATGTTAAAAGGAGCGGATAAACAGATTTGCACATTAAAAATAAATTATCTAAGAGGCTAAAACTGTCGCAATCGCTTTGATAAATTCCCCCCATTATGGTTTCATTATTTTTTTTGGCATCGGTCCCCCATGGTGCTTCCCTGTGCCTTTTTTGATTATAGCTTGCCTACCAAGCCTACAAATTGCCTATTGAGCCTTTTGATAACAGGTTGCCTATCAACCCAACAAATCAGCAGACGTTTTTTGGCAAAGGTCCCCCATGGTGCTACCCTGTGTCTTTTTTGATAACAGCTTGCCTATCAAGCCTATAAATTGGCAGATCATACAAAAAAGATTTGACACCATCCCATTTTTCCATGTGTGTTGATATGCAGTTATATGCAGTATTGCTCATTTTTACCTTTGCTTTGATATGCATTGTAACACATTTTGGTGTTTTTATGTTTAAGTGCACAGAAAACTGCACTGATATACACTGAGTGGTCAGATTATTATGACCACCCCATCAGTACTTCGTTGGGCCACGAGATGACTTTGTTGGGCCGCCTCGTGACTCCACGAGATTTTGAAAGGTGATGCGAGGAATCTGACACTGCACTGTTGCCCTTCTGTTGTCTTGTACCAGTCTTGCCACTCTCCATTCTGCCCTAACATTGACCAGTCGCTGACGGCCACAATTCGCACGTTCAGACCCAGATTTTTGGCTGACAGTCCAGTCTTTAAACACTTTAACAACAGATGCTCTTGAACATCTAACAAATTCTGCTGTTTTGCTGATACTTGCTCCATGGCTTCGAGCGACCAACAATCATCCCACGTTCAAAGGCTGTTAAATCGCGTTGTTTACCCGTATCTTCAGAAAAAAATCACTTCTACTGTCGTGGTAAACAACCTGCTTCCCTATTTATAATGGTCTGGACCTCTAGCAACTTCAGCGCAAAATTATAGCTAATTTGTCCTACAAACATCAGGTGGTCATAATAATCTGGCGTCATAATAATCAGTGTAGAGCATGAAATGATTTTATGTTTTATGAAAAAGGTTACAATAGTGTTTATTGTTGTATAATGTGTAAAATGTACACATGCCTTCTTGTGATACATACACTAAACTGAGACCAAAAGTTATGCAAACCATTGTTTAAAAAAGCATTAATTATATATGTGAACTGCATTTGTTTATTGAGGATGTTTTATATATGTGTGTTATCAATATAAATTATATCACATGTGTTTAGAGGATTTCCGTCAATACATTTGTTATTGTAAGGTTAAATGCTGTCTGTGGAGACTAGAAGCGAGGTTATAACTGGAAGGCGGTGTGACATTCTGTACAGATCCTGAGAATCCTAAAGAACTATATTGTACAATTTTGGAAGGGGGAATCCCCTCTGTTACATTTCCTCCGCTCCTCTTATTCCCCTACATACAGCAAGCATTACACTGCACTGTGCATTGTGTGTGAATTCAGGACAAATAAAGATTGAAGCAGGGAGTGATGTAATGTGTGTTGTAACCATTGCTCCCACCCAGGAAGTGATGTCACATGTCTTGTCACCATGGCTCCCATCCAGGAAGTGATGTCACATCTTGTCACCATGGCGCCCATCTAGGAATTAATGTCACATGCCTTGTCCCAATGGCTCCCATCCAGGAAGTGATGTCAGATGTCTTGTCACCATGTCTCCCATCCAGGAAGTGATGTCACATGTCTGGTCACCATGGTCTCTAATCCAGGACTTGCCACTGTGGGGGAGTTGCTGGGTACCCCCTGTATGTATCTGTGTGATGGCTCTAATCTGTATAAAGTAACATGTACACACAGCTGTAATTTTCAGAACTGGGAGGGGATACAGGTAGGACTGGGAGGGGATAGAGGTAAAACTGGAAGGGGCTACAGATAGGTAGGACTGGGAGGGACTATAGGTAGGACTGGGAGGGACTATAGGTAGGACTGGGGGGGACTATAGGTAGGACTGGGAGGGTATATAGGTTGGACTGAGAAGGAATATAGGTAGGACTGGACCTATGAAACCCATTAATGACTGTTTTAGTAATAACTGAGTGTTATGTTTGGAAATTAACCAAGCAAAAAGCATTTTTGCCCCTTATATAGCATAGTACGGATCCATATGTTGATATTATACACTGCTCATTAGTCTTTATTTCCCATGTGTACAATTTAATAAACACTAAACCTTGTCCCACTTGTAAAGGAACAGCATAAAACACGCATTTTCAGGAGAAAATAACCACATGAATTACGTTATTTATCCCAAATAATAAATGCAACTATTAAACATATTTCCTATTTTGAAAAACATCACCTCACCTTTGCTTTTGCGGTTTCCCTTGACATCGGTTATCCCAAATAATGTATATTTTTCTTTCATTAAACACACTACCAGAGCTAATATAAATATATGTAACTGATCTGACAGTTAAACGGTCGATCACATGACCTACTCATGTCAGGTGACCTGCTGCTGGGTCACTTAGGAAGTCTGCAGCATAGCTGAGCTCAAGCAGGAGGATGATAGACTTGTGTATGTAGATCTGCCTGATATTTGGACGATAACATCATATGACAAGCCTGGAAATCAGGATTAGCGTCCATTCACATCAAGGTAGACACAATGCAAGTCAACGTGTGTGTATTAATGTACCGCAAATGGTGTGAATGGGCCCTTAACAAAGTGTATGATTCTCTGTTCTCTGGACAAATCTACACCCATATATATATTCAGGAAAATATAAAAATCTGTCATTCGCGCAGTGCTCCGAATGTGGCACATAATTGTTGCTACAAGGCTATTTGTATTCTTGGAGCACGGGGAGCCATTTTTAATTCTGTAAAGAAACGGATAGCTTTTCTTAAGGCCCAACTCCAGCTAAAACCATTTAGTTTGTATTGGATAAAGTAGGGTAGGGTTGGATTATCTGTTTATTATTGTTGCATCTTTATTAGGGGATTCAAGCTTCATTGCTAGGGATGTTATTAGCACAACTGAGCTACTGAAAATGACCCAGGTAGCTTAGGTCTAAGGATAGGCATCAATGTGGCCGCTGGCAGATTTAGCTCTATAATAGGCAACCTCGGCCATCTAGCTGCTGTGGAACTACAAGTGCCATAAGATTTGCGTGACTGACAGCCACTGGCATGACTCACAGGGACATGATAACATTTGTAGCTTCAGCACAGCTGGAGTGCCAAGGTGGACTACCCCTGGCATATTAGATGCCAATGACAGGTCCTGCTGATCTGTCATGCAGCTACATTGTAGCAAAAATGTATGTAATGTGCATCACACATGTTACAATCGGTAACATGTTTTGGATTTACCAACAACTATGGAGTTCAAGGACCTGGGTACTCTATTTACTGCTTATCCTGGGGCATTGTTTGAATTGCTCTTGTCATTTTCATCAACTTTAGCACAACTGACAGCCTTATTTTCTAACAGCAGGATGCCCAGGGAAACTTGTGCCAGAGGTATGTGTAAGCAAGGTATAGATTACACTTACCTCTGAGGGGGAGTAGAGTCTGTGCCCCTTCTTGAGAGACACTGTCCCCCACTGTAATTCCTTTCCACCACTAGGTGTCCCAGTGTTCTAAGACAATTGATGCCCAGTAAATGTCAACCTGAAAGACTGAGGACATACTGCAAGTGAAGGATATCATGGGCTCACCCCCACGTCAATCCTGTTCTCTAGATTATTGCAGACCATTGGGAAAAGATCCAAACCGGAAGAGATTTGAGGGCTTTATATTAACATGACAGACTAGGTATAAAGCATAAAGCCGAACTGAGCTGTCATGAGGGGAATATGGGGACTGGCATTACTGACAGCTTTCTGACCTCGACCATTTGGCTCCACTGTTCTGAGTCACTAATGCTCAACAAGTATGCAGAAAATGAATTCTGTCTTCACTGTGCGTAACTTGATGTTGCAATGGTTTTGCAATTTGGTAATACGTTACACACATTGTCTGCTCTATTTTTTGGTTTTCTCCCGTCAATTTGGTACTTGATCCTTCTTACCAACCCGGCAGACCAAGCTTAGTCCTTCGCAGCCATTGGATGATCCACGTGACACCACTTCTCATGGTCACAAACTGCTGAGCTTCCTTTAAACCCCACCACATGTGAGTGCATATCAGTGAATATCATGTTGCTCCTTTAAAAACCCACCTTGTGGCGCATCGGTTCTCTCTTTTTGTTTTTCCATGATACACACCAGACACCCCGGTCTGATTTCACCAGGAGCCGCACACCAGCCTTCAATACCCAGACGCCCCCCGAAGTGTGCTCTCCAAATTGGACTTTTCTTTGAACTTTTTATTTCAGAATAAAACTTGACTCTTTGCAGTGGGGCTACCCAAATTATCATTAATAAATACTAAGGCTTACAGGAAATCACAAATTATTCAATAAAAGAATAGAATATCCAATCTAATGTTTAGAAAAGAAAAGGCAAATCATGTATAAAAATAACAATAGGAATACTATTTATTATTTATGGATACATTTGTACCCACAGAAGGTGTTTTTATGTTGGATTACAAGGAATTATCTGTGTGCAGATTGGTTTTCTTTGTATGATTTTGCCAGCAAATATATCTCGGCAGACTCTTTTCTGCTAGCTTTAGGCTTTATAGTCTTGACATGTTGAAATCTTTGTTGCAGTCTGTGTCTTAATGTATTGCTTTCACTGCCATCCCAGATTTTGCAGAGAAAATTCCCCCCTGGTTGCAGAACAATGGCTGCCAAGTCCAAAAGAGACAGACACATGCTGACTAATCTATGGTGATCCAGCTCCCTGAATCCACTGGCATTGGGAGCCATATCGCTCAAAATGGCATCTGCTTTGCCAGATGGGAGAAGTCTGACTATTTCCTGGTGTGTGGCGGGATCTGTGAGGTCACATTTGGAGAGGAACACTGCTCCGTCTAGGGGAAATATATTAAGAAGATCCACACCTAATACAAAGCCAACACTTGCTGTAGGATCTGCAAAAGAAAATGATAATTTACAATAAAAATTCAATGCAAATATTAACATAGTTAAATAGTAAGCTTGGAAAAAAGTAATGTCCATATACTTCAGGGCCAAGTCACACCATAACCAGTGCGTTCCGGCACGGTTTGAGGCCGGAGCACACTGGATTGCAGAAATCAAGCAGGAGGGCACGTTCTGGAGCGGGAGGGGGCATGGTGGTGGCATTCATGTTAACAGCCCTGCAGACGCGCTCCCCGCCCGCAGTGGGGTCGCTCCCGCACCAGAACGCAAGGTACAGGAATGCCCTCCATTCCAGTGTAGTGCGATCGGAAAAAGTGCTACGTGCACTATTTTTTTCTGATCGCACTGCACCGAAATGCAAGGCATTTCTGTACCTTGCGTTCTGGTGCGGGCGATCGCACTGTGGGCGTGTCTGTGGTGCCATTGACCGTCCCAGCTTAATTTCTGCAATCTAGTGTGCTCCGGCCTTGAACCCTGCCGGAACGCACTGGATATTTTGTGACTGGGCCCTCAACCAAAAAACACAAAAATAAATTAATAAAACATAAACAGCTTGTATCCTTGGAACCCTAAACCTCCAGCTGGTCTAGAGGAAGGTAAAAAACATAAAAGAATGTGGTCTAATGTTCACTAACAGGAACAAATTCAGATCCCAAAAGGCTCTCAGATAATTTTCTAGATTCACCAATCATATCTGCAGCCTGCTTTTACTGTCAACGAATAGGACATAAGGTTCAAGGAGAACCTCACAGTGTATGTGGAAGGAAATAGAATTTGTAATTGTCCTTCTGTAAGATACCCATACCTCCATAGTTCCTCCTAAGCCTCACATACTCACCTTTTTCTGGCTACCTTGCTGCTCCGATCAACTGTGTGAGGTGAGGAAAGACAGCCCTGGGGAAGCTTAAGTTTGATCTCCAGTCAGAGCTTCCACAAAAATTCTCAGAAGGATAGTCCACAGTGTGGGAACCAGGTAGAAGTCCTGGAAGATTCCTAGAAATACTGTTTCTGGTAAGTCTAACTGGGAAGTTCCCAAATCATCTTCCAGGATAGCATACCTCGGGGGGATCGGACCACTGCCTGCAGAACTTTCATGCCAAACGTCAGATATTGTTGTAAAAGCAGCTCCGCCCTGTAATGTTTTATTCAGTTTTTTTCAGTATGTAACACAGTGCAGAGGTCACAAAGAAAGTACAGGGACTTACAGTTGCTTTGACCTCTTCTTCTTCTGGTGATGGTGGGGGAGCAGCGAGGTTTCCTACACGTCCAGCCGGCTCCAGGTGCTCTCTCTCTCTCCCGCGCAGCAGAAGCCGGCCAACTGCAGTTCGACAGTCTTCCTCTCCCACCAATGGCAGCTGAGGCGGGCGGAGGAAACTGCTGTAGCCGCCAAGGAGCCCCGCTCCTTGGCGGCTACAGAGAAAGAGAAGAGAGAACAGAAGCGAGCGATCGCCGCGGCGGTAGTGTTCCATCCCTGGTCCCGCAGGCGGCTCACCCCCTCCATGATATTCCACTGCCCCCCCCCGCAATTTTCACTCGCCAATTGCGAGGGGGCGAGCGGAAATTCTGAGGCCTGACGGTAGTCATCTTTAAGAGAGGGCCGAGGGGGTCAGAGGGCTATTTTAAGTGTCTACTTGTGTTTCCTAAAGTAGATGGAACCAATCATCTCTCACATAGCTGTCCTGGAAGATGATTGGGGAAAATAAAATTCAGCATAATGAAGCCTTCCCCTCAGTATTTGTTTTCTGTAAGTTTGCTTGTACCTGCTGGTCCTAACACTGAACACCCACTTACTGTCCTATGATGACAATGCTCACTGAATGCCCATCTATGCACACAGAATTCAAAGAGTAACATTTAAATAAAAAACAAAAAGTATCCAGGTGTACATAATAAAAAACAAAAAGTATCCAGGTGTACATAATAAAAAACAAAAAGTATCCAGGTGTACATAATAAAAGTCTACCTAGGCAAGATGTTTTTGCCTAGGGCTTAATCGTAAATTAAAATGTATGTTCAGCCAACATTTAGATTTAGAAAGGAATAGATAGAACCCATGTCTTGTTTTTACTGCTATTCGGGACTTCTTTACAGAGATTTACCTTCTCCTCCCATTGACATCTCTTTACCAGACAGGAAGTGAGAGGAAATCTCTTAACAGCAACACAAAAAGAAATAAACATGCTTTTCTTTAATATATTAGGGAAAGGCCAGAACCCCTTTCAGATTATCCCTCACTTCCTGTCTTGTGAAACAGTTGTCAGCAGGACAGGAAGTGAGGATGAAGCTCCCTAAAGAAGCCCCTAATCCCTCCCCACTCTAACCAAAACTAGAGAAAAAGTTTTTTTCGGCTGACCTACACTTTAAGAAAATTATATGCTTTTGTCTAGTTGACGTAGCTGGACCTGACAGTTTGCTCACCTTGCCCCAAGGAATTGACTTTCTCAATGAGCACCTGGCTCCAGGCCCCTGGGGCAGCACCACAATCGATCACATGAAGTCCTGGCAGCAGGATTTTCTGCTCCTTATCAATTTCAAGGAGCTTCCAAGCGCTGCGGCAGCGGTAGTTTTGTTCCTGCGCTGCTTTTACGTAGGGGTCCCTCTTCTGCCTGGTGAGCCATATGTGCTCTGCTCCTGTCTTGGCCTTTTCTTGAACCAGGCTGATATGAAGCCTACGACACTGTACTAGCCAAGAGGCTTTGTGACAAAATCTGCAAGCAAAAAAATTTATTGAATTGCCAACAAATATATTTATACCAGAGACAAATTTTAAGTGAACTTGTGAGGGCACAAATGTTGCCATCTAGGAGCAAACATGCAGCCATTGAATAATACTGTTTATTACTTCCTGCATTGCTGACCCAGAACATTTAGGCAAATCAGTAGTTCTGACTTCACCGGTGGCATGTTTGTTCTGAGTTAGTAACTCAAGTTTTGAAGTTCAAGACAATCATAACTAGCATTTTCAGAAGGTCAGCAATGGCAGTCTACACGTTTCACCCAGGACACTTCTTTCAAGGTACACTCTAGCTAAACTTGAACATTTAGGACCCTTTTAAATGATGCATTGTGGTAATGTACCTGTCTTAAAGCTGTAGTAAACTGCCAACACAAATTTCAGGTAGTAGGCCCCCAGGAGGTGTGTGCCATACACATATAGTCTCTTCTGTCATAAAAACCTTAACTGTCACCATTTTTTTTTACTTTTCTTCCACTTCAATGCATATCTGAACCCAAAAGACGTGGTAGCTGCATACGTTTAAGGATAAGAGAGAAGTTCCTCTTTAAGGCCTCATTCATACGACAAAAGGGCGGCACGTACAGCTCCGTGCTGGGTGCACAGCCGTATCGGCCCGCTCCCGGGAAGGACAGGTGCTGCGTGTGATTAGTACGCAGCCCCTGCCTTTCTCTATGGGAGTACGCTGTCATATGCCGCCCTACGCTCACCACAAGTGCAGGTCCGTAAGGGTGCGGGTGTCCCGGCTCGGACGCTGACAGGATCCATCCTGTCAGCATACGAGTACGGACACCGGCACGACGGGTGAGTGTAGGGCGGCGTATGACCGCACATTCTCATAGAAAAAGACAGGGGCTGCGTACTAATCACACGCAGCACCTGTCCTTCCCGGGAGCTGCCTGATATGGCCGTGCACGCAGCACGGAGCTCTACATGCCGGCCTTTTCTTGTGTGAATGAGGCCTAAAGAGGAACTTCACCCATATCTTCAAAGTAACAACAAAGGCACCTTTAGAAATGTTTAGTAATGACAATCTACAAACAGATACTTCTAGATAATTGCCGGCTTTGTATTCTTTACATACCTTGTTTTTCTTTTCCTCCCCATTCTTCCCAAAGCTGCCATTTGTACTAAGGGCAGATGAATCCATCTCCATTTACTTCCTGGAACTCTGGCACGTGACTAGGACATGTGACCATGCACTTCATCTCAGGGGAGGAAAATGCCTTTCCCCGAGATTTCCCAGCAATGCTCTGCTGATGTAACCTTCCCAGGATGCAATGCTTGGGCACATTACATCAATGATGCCCAAGAGGACCAGGAAGTAGAAAGCAAAAAATAAATATGTTTAACTAAAGAATGTAAGCATCCGAGCTGCATGCTGATATGATTTTTGGTCAAAGCGGGTAAATCGGACATGTCTATTGTGGTGCACAATGTTACATTGGTTGTCACTGACTATGAGTGCCATTCACAATGAATGTAATTCACCAGTCAGAATGAGCATTTAAAAACCTGTACTGAGGAAGTGCTGTCATTCCTTCACCTTCTGAAAGTTCTAGAACTCCGTCTGTCCTACTGATCCAGTGGCTTCTATACAACTACAGCGACCTATTGCAAACACAGGTTTTTTATTTCTGACCACAGCTATGCATTATTTTCATAAAGGGAGGTTACACAGAACACAATTATGTAACTAAAAGCCGCAGTCCTAACATCAAGCACTGTATATATTTTTTTCTTGTACAAATGATCATAATAAATGTATAATAATTTACACTGACTGAACTTTCTGCTCAGATAGACCACTTGCATTCGGGAGTTGTGCAATTGCGCATTTATTGCTCCGTCATTTTAAATGGGCAAAAAGAGCATCTTACAATGTACTCTCAGCAGGCACAAAGCAGGAGATGACTTTAATTATATAGCTTTTACATTAGATCCCGAATATGAATAAATAATCCCTCCGCAATCTTTTCTCATACAAATATTACTGCATTTTTATAGCTTCTTTAAATTGCTGCTAACCTCAGTGAGAACAGTCCTTTAATCTATGATTAATCCCAGCACCCTTCTTTGAATATGGATGCTATAGCATGAAACATCTCTATGAATATTAACTCCTTTATCTGGTTTAATCTTCCATGCAGTAAATGTGAAGAGCTGACAGTTCTAAGAGTCTGCTCTTTTACCGCTAACTAGGGAGGCATATAGGGTAAAGCTACGCAGGCAATTTATACTGGTGAAACCACTAAGTCCTAGTTTTGTAGCGCGTTCTACGCTCGACGAACGCTCTACAAAACGCTCAAAAATATAAATCCCATTGTATTCAATGGTCTCGTTCCCACCTTGGCGTATTTCCGCCCGTCCCTAACGCGCTACACAACGGCCCACGCCTGAAAAGGTACAGGTACTACTTTGGGCCGTTTTGTTGCGCTTTTCCATTGGGATACAGCCAAGAAAAAATTCAGAAACGCGCAACTTTTTTACCGCGAATCGCGGTAAAAAAACGCGCGGCGTTCACGCATATGCAATACGCCTAGGTGTAAACGAGACCTTAGGCCTCAATGCCATTGCTGTAGAAGAGTTATGCAGCACTTACCCCCTGCTTAGTGAATGACCTGAATCAGTCATTAACTAGGCAGCCACTGCTCAGGACCAACAAAAAATACAGGGGTCTCAAAGTACTAGCCCACGAACCCGTACCATACAGTAAAACAGTAGAATGTTATCATGGCACATTCACAAGCCAGCATGTAAAACAACTTGTCTCACCACTAAGGTTAACAACAGAGGTTTGGATACACGTCTTCTGCAGAAAATGTGAAAGCCACGCAGCTGCGCCAAGGCACCTCTTATAGTGCGGTCCTAACTCTAAACCATGAGAGTCTCCATCTTGGAGCACATGGGGACAGAAGATTTAGAATTGGGTGCAGGTTTGTCAGGAGGAAGCCCGACATCCCTTTTGTTTGCCCGTACCACACAGCCCGCAACTGGCCAGGGACTGTTTGCCCTCTCTGCAAAAAATGAAAGCAGGTGAGGGGGGCTCTTTCTTTTATTTTATGTCTGTGTGTTGGGGGGTTTTGATGGGGAATAGGGGTGTATTAGTTTCTGTATATTTTTGTGTGGGGGGTTTGTGTGTATTTCTCTGTGCATGTGTATTTCTGTGTGTGTGCATATTTCTGTGTGTGTGTATTTCTCTGTACCAGGCGGCTTGCAGCTGGCTGACAAGTCAGGCTCGCAGTCATGGACTGTGTACCTAACTTGCGGGAACAGCTAGCTGCTCCTGGTGGTGATGGCACTCAGTAGTTCTTTTCGGTCGGAGCCCTGACAGCCTTCACTAAGCACAGGCTGAAACAAAGGATTAGTAAGGTCTGCACCAGGCAAAGGTGCAGACTAGGGATGTCCCGATACCGATACTACTACTTGTACTCGTTAAAACGCCCCGATTTTTAAGGCCGATACCGGCCCTTTAAATTTTTTAACAGCAGCGGCCATCCAAGTTCCCGTGCTTGTGGGGACCCTGGCAGCCTGCTGAGGACCTGCAGATAGCTGTCCATTGCAGTGCCTGTCCGGTTTTTTATCTCCTCCTTCCCGACATAGCCATGGACAGCCCCGGGGGCGGAACTACCAGCGGTGCAGCCGGAGCGGCCACCCCAGGGCTAGAAGCTGGGGGTTTCCGTCGCCCACTGACTGGAGAGGGCTGGGCCGGGAGATGGATGGAGGTTGGGGGGGTCATCAGGGGAGATAGACGGCTGGACGTGGAGGAGGCTAGGGCCCAGCATCGTCGATCTAGAAGTGGAAGAGGCTGCGTCCCATCATCGTTGGTGAGGTGGAGTGCCCGCAGACCCACTGCAGATGTCCACGTCACCCAGGTGAGAGGAATTCTGCTTTGGGGACATGTATTTTCAGAACACATGTCCCCAAAGCAGAATACCATTCTGCCTTAGGCACCTCCCTGAAATGACTTATTTCAGGTTGGGAATGGGATCCCTGCATGGATCTTACTGAATTGTATGATTTGGTCATGCATTTAGCAACTAACCACCAATGTAACTTTAGTGACAGGCTTGACTGGCATTACATGTCTTTGAATGACCTACAGGATGGCAAGCTGGAAAGTTAATAAACCTCAGCTCTGCCAGTCACTCTTACGGAGGGATATATTATCCCTCCGTTATTAATAACTCCTCCCGGGCTATTCACGCCTACTACCTACATTATACTGTACGCCAAACTCACCTATTTCTAACAGCAGCCATCACCGAGACATATACACTACAACACATGCAGAAGCTCAGCCTGAAACATCGACGGCCATCTTTGTTATGGGCAACCATGTTAAGATGGGGTTCACTTATATTTATTCATCTCTGAAAGTTCCGTTTACGGCCTGTGTTTTTAAATTGGGATAAAAGTAATTCGTTTTACTGACAAGCAAAGAGAAAAAAAAAAAAAAGAGAAGAGACTGCCCGTTTTTAAAATGGAGCCGGGGGACATCAACCTGGCAGATCACGTGACCACGCTCTGCGCTTCCCGCGGGTTAAACCCACGTGTATGATTTGTGGACTCGGGTCATTCATGAAGCGCTCAAACTGTACCTGAATAGGTAATTATTGTGTAGTAGCAGCAGCAGCATGTTTTCAGCTCAGGTCGGGATTTATGGGGTTAACACATATTAGTTCTGTGTTAACCCATTGCCTGCCGGGTACGTGTAGTTTTGTCCATGTAAGCTTAGCTAGGTGTAGTGGTTTTGATGCTACAGCAGGGTAGTGAGTGAACATGGTTTAGGGTCGTTTCATATTGTAGCATTGCACTGAAGGCGCAGATACTGTGCCTTTCACATACACAATTGCAGAGTGCAATGCACTGCATGCTCATGTGTTGCCATTCATTATGAATGGCAACTAGTGCACCTAGTTGCCATTGCCTAGTTGCATGTGTTTCACTGTGCTGCAATGCATGGTGCAGGGAAAAAAATAATGCACGCGATATTTTTTCCGGCACTGCGATCCATGCTATTGTGTTACTGTGTGTTGCATTGCAATGTTGCACACCTGCCGGGAAGTGTAGGGGTGCCATTCAGAATGCACTGTGCAATATTATGCACTTAACACATGGATACCGGCAGGGCAGTCTCTATAATGAGGCAGTTACCTCAGGTGGCATCTCATGGGGGGGGGGGGGGGT